CGAAGATATCGGAATGCCAGGAAATATTCTAAGGGGGCTTAATTCTAATCCCTGCGGTGGCGAAAGAAAGATTAGGAATCACAATCTTCGAGATTGATGACCAGGGTCTAGAGAAATATGTGCTTTGATTTGCATCACATTCTAGGTTTCTCAACCTCTTTCAATATTCCGCTCCTACAGCTAGGAATATCATTTGGACCACCTGCGACGGTAAGATGGCATTGTCGTCAACAGAAGCAGTTGTGCCTCCTATTTTGGGTTTCTGGTCCTCAGGGCTACTTTCCAAATTCTCATTATACTACACTGTGATCTTACCAGCTGTGGCCTTCCTATTGTACATAATCGGGAGTGAAATCACTCGCTACTTGTCAAGGGTTCCCAACCTACCTGGGCCCCGTGGGCTTCCCTTAGTTGGGAGTTTGCCGTGGCTCTGGGGCAAAGTACACGCGGAACAGTTCAGAATATGGTCCCAGCAATATGGCGATGTTTTTCAGGTTCAGCTAGGTGAGCGCACCGCCGTGGTGGTTAATAGTGCGTCGGCCGCTCGTGAATTATTCCTAGGTCAGCGAGAGGCAATGAACTCACGCCCGCTGTTTTATGTCCTACACGCCAAAGTTCAGAGAGGGTCTTCTGTCACAAGCATCGGAACCAGCCCTTGGAACGAGAGCTGTAAACGACGGCGGAAAATTGGTGCCACGGCCATGAACAAGGTTGCAGTTGATTCATATCAGCCGGTCAGTAACTTAATGAAAACCCGACTTTCTGCGTGCTCACCATCTTTCAGCATGTTCTAACTCACGTGTAGATTATAAACTCTGAATCTAGGGGTTTTCTATCAGATCTACTGGCTGCATCGCTCCGTAGGAGAGACAGTACCGTGGATTTTCGGGATCCTGTGCGCAAATATGCGATGAACTTAGTCTTGACATTGAATTATGGAACACGGTAGGTGTTCTCGTCCGTCAGCGCAGAGTTTCCCGACTGACTCCATCTCAAGGGTCGAAGATGTCAAACAATTGCGTGGTAATACCGTGTTCGCTGAAATGGTACACGTGGAAACCGAGATATCTCGCCTACGAGACACGTCTCAAAACTATGAAAATTATATCCCCATACTGCGGCCCATCAAGACTGTAGCCGCTTGGGTCGGTCTTCGTGATGGGCACTATATGGCTGATATCGGTAGACGAAGGGTTGGGTACCACAAGGTTCTCCTAGAGAATCTGCGAGCGGAAGTGGCTAGAGGCGTTGATAAACCCTGCATTCAGGGCAATGTTCTCAAAGACCCGGAGAGCAAGGGTATGTCTGAGGGGGAATTGCTTAGTGTCAGCTTGAGTATGATGGCTGGCGCGGATACAAGTCAGCCCACTGTTGGATGGGCCATTCTGTTACTTGCACATCGGCAGGATATCCAAAACAAGGCATTCGAGTCTATCGTGCAGACTGATAGTCGTCTTCTCGGCGCTGCTGATGTGTCACATGTTAAGGTAGACTTCATTGATGCTTTTACAAAGGAAGTCGGCCGCTGTTATACGGCTCTGAAGCTCGGCTTACCTAGAGCGACCCACGACGATTATACTGCGACTTGGGGCCCGGCTACAATTCCTCAGAAAACACTAGTGTTGATGAATACTTGGGCTTGTTCTAAAGGTAATATCTTTCTCCGCCTACACCTGAAGCCGCGCCTCTAATATTTTCCTTTAAAATCAATATTGTCCTGTGATGCTAATTTGACGAGAAGATCCTACCGTATTTCCTGACCCCGACAACTTCGTGCCAGAACGTTGGCTTCAAGCAGGGACCACACACTTGCACCAATTTGGTTTTGGCATTGGCGGGCGGATGTGCATCGCCAACCATTTAGCCCATAAAGCATTATACACGGCATTTCTGCATCTAATTGCCCATTTCGAGATTCTTCCTGCAGCCGAGAGCTCGCAAGATCCCCACATTATTGATCCTTTAGAAGGTCTTCTCCTCAAGGAATCATTCGTTGCAACTCCGCGCAACTGCACTGCTCGACTGGTTCCACGAGACATCAACAGAACCAAAAGAGTATTAGGTATAGAGTAGGATAATACTATCAAATAAAAAGAAGTCAACAGCTCTTCTGCCAATGCGACGCGGTTCATAAGTTTTGATGATACTGTGATGCCAAATCTAGTGGGGAATTGCTTTCATACAACACCAGCTCCTCTCACAAAAGAACGGTAACATGCGGGAGCGAGTGTAGGTGATAGCTACAAGCAGCCGGAGCAATTCATATGGTCAAAAGAAAAGGAAAGCTTATCAGCAGATCCAGGCCGAATGGCTGGTAAGGAGATCTGAACAATGAAGACATAGCAAACGTGGCTGCTGTGCAGATGTGACAACGTGAGTCTTTATCTCCTTCACTAGGCTTTATCATAAAGAGAGAGTGGCTTGTGATGGATAACATGCTGTTCTAAGTCTAGGACGAGGACTCTTCAGCCAAACATGGAGTACAGACAGTCTTGGAAAAGAAGCATATACCGCATACAGCTACTTGAAGTGAGCTCGAGGTTAAAAAGTACGTATGCTACCTTTGACATGAATATTTCATAATTTTGTCGACCGAGTGAGCTTGTAATTCCCAGACCGTGGCAGTCATCAACAATATCACCAATGTCTTAATAAGGTATGGTAAGGCTTGGCGTGCTTGGTTCTCTTCCTTCCGTCCCACTGAAACTTCACGGAAAGAGATTAAGTTGATGATAGCCACTCAAGAACTTCTTAGAAGGTTCGTCTACTAAGCTATCTTTAGAACGAGCCATGAGAGCGAGCAATGTCCCAACATCCTGGTTCCATAATTCCCGCTCGCTACCCCTCGCCACCATTTCATACCTATATTACCGCCATCAACCAGTGAGTATAATCTAGATTGTGACACTTGCGATATGAAGCAGAAGACTGTTCATATTAGCAGATGTAAAACAAAGTATGGGGATCTTGTTTATTACACGTTTCATCAAAGCTTCAGCTGATGTTCCCTCATCTTGGCTAAAAGTGCTGACGAGAACAGCGACATGCCTGGACCAGCAGCTACTGTCGTCTTCAATTATGTAAACAGTGATTGGTTGATCGGAGGGAAGAAGAGAAAGCTGACAGCGCTCACTTGTCACGGAATATCATGCTCCGACTAGCAGGGAAAGACCAATAATGGAGTTAAACCTAGCGATCCAAATTTCTTGTTTGCGCCTTACTTATTTAGGCCCTCGTATGGCTCTCCGGTCTATAGCACAGAGGATTGCAACCAAGTAGATAAGATAAGATTGTGAGTATTGACCCTTTGAGCTGCGACCCTACCCTACAGCGTCGTGGCGAGCCAATGATGCCGGTTAGTCCATCCGTTTCATTGACCTTTCCAAAGGTTTTCGTGCAACTCTACTTTCCGAAACCGTCATCGTTCAACATACCTTCCACATTCCCATTGTTGGAATTCCGTACCAACTATAAGATCCAGAGTCAACAGCGAGTCACTGCACTGTCGTACACCCGAACACAAAGAGACTCTCAAGATCATAAACTAGTTTGAATTTAGCATTTATCATGATGTGATAGAAACTAATCGGAGCAACGGTCATGTCATCCAGGAGCTTATCATGATCAGTTTCGGCGATTCGGGTCAGGTCAATTCGCCTCATTCGGTTGCAACCCTAAGAATAGACACAACCAACCAGGAGAATGGAAAGTATGGAGAAATCAGGGTCAGATCCCCTGGAGCACAATGCAGCCAAGCCAGTAAAGTGGAGCAACCATACATGTCAACTCGATGTCGTGACACTTCTCATCACTGAAATCAACAAGACCAACATCGGAATATCGTTAAGATCCAGGTCCAATATGGCAGGTCACAATTAGCCCTCATTGCTCGATGAGGAGAAACCAATACAGCTCCCTCATCTCTCATACTCCTAGCCTTAGATAACCAAATGGAGCACACTTAGAGCGCAGTAGTAGACAATCGATCCTCCAAGGGGGATTGATCTTTTTCAGGAAGCTATGAACACCCAAGTTGTCTGCAGTGCTTTGCTAGGTTTGTGTTGGGCAACATGACTTTAGCACTTTCCTTCACGGGAAATATTGGTCTCTAGCGCGGAGCGATGATGGCACAAGTTTCACTCTGGATGCTATTAAAAAGTATCTTCCTCAAACATTTCAGCTACCGATGGAAGTTTATCTGATCCGGCAACTCCAATCGATATCGTGTAATGATGCGGGCCTTGAAAATATTGGTGTGCTTTGCGGTTACAGGCTTCCGCTTGGCCCAGAGTCGAGAAGAAGATGCAAAGTCAGTCACAGAAGGCGGGCAAGCCACGCCTCAACGATATATTCTTGAGTTCACTGGTGTATGCATTATGATTGGCCTCACCTCAAGTGCTCCGTCTAACCAAAATAACATAGGCTACGGGCTATGCTGAAGCTGTCAAGGAGATCGGCTCTCGGAAAGGGACCAAAATTGTCAGACTTTTCAACAACACTGATGTCTTCTCTGGTCTCAGCATTGAAACGGCACTCGATGATGCGAATTCTCTATCTGCCATTAGCAATGTCGCTCGAGCTTGGCCAGCCACAAGAACACAACTGCAACCTATTTTGAATGCAACATTCAATGGCGCCGTTGGAGCCGCTGATTACTCGATTCATAATATGACTGGAGTCGACAAGCTGCATGAAGCTGGCATCTATGGCAAAGGTGCTATCGTTGCCGTGATTGATACCGGTATTGATTACCTTCATCCAGATGTCCGTTTCTTGACCCACTCTACCTAATGCTATACTAATGATAACTTGTAGCTCGGAGGCGGATTCGGCCCAGGTTTCAAAGTAGCTAGAAGCTATGACTTTGTCGGAGACGGCTGTAGGTTTCCTGTTCTGCTTCATGCCTATTCGATTCTTGTAATACTTCGTCCTAATCTCTGATAATGTAGATTGGCCCAATGATGGAGAGAAGGTCCCGGATCCTGATCCCCTTGATTACTATGGGCATGGTACGCATGTGGCAGGCATCATTGCAGGCAAGAATGGCTGGCAAGTACAGACACATTGAAGCATGTGGCAACCCATTCTAAATACTGCTTCATAGGTTTACTGGTGTAGCACCTGAGGCGACCCTTCTTGCGTTCAAGGTCTTCACCACAGCGGTATGGCCGCCCTGTCATTTGGAGAGGGAGATGTTGTAAATGACTTCTGTCATTGCTTCCCGTACTAACTTCACTTTAGGGGATTACTGATGAAGACACTCTGATTGAGTCCTTTCTATACGCATACAATGCAGGGGTATGGCCTCCCCTTCAAACCATCGATTAGACATCAAGATAGTGTGCTAACATGAACAGGCTGATGTGATCACCGCATCAATTGGTGGTCCTTCGGGATGGGGAGACAACGCCTGGGCGCTTGTAGCCGATCGACTGGTTAGCGCAGGTGTTGTTGTTACAATTGCAGCTGGAAACAATGGTCAACTTGGTCCTTTCCTTGCTAGCTCTGGCTCATCAGGAAAGAATGTACTAGCCGTTGCATCTATTGAGGCCACACAGACACCTTCTCTTTCTTTTTCCGCATCTTTTAATCAAGATGACCAAAGAGAGGTTCTCAAAATTGCGTATTCAAGCGGCTATGGCTTTCCTCCTTCTATCAAGGATTATCCAGTCCTCCCTCTAGATCCGTGTTCACCGCTTCCGGCAGACACGCCAGATCTTCAGACAGTTATTCCACTCATAAAAATTGGGTTTTGCTCCCCCGGAACAAAGGAAAAGAATTTGGCTCCGTTCAATCCTCAGTATATATTCCTATACGTACCGGAAGTTCCGGACAATGACGGTGTTTACATCGGAGATTATACGTCATTCTGGGCCACTTTGCAGACACTGCCGGCCGAGGCTATTGTCTCAACTGTACTGAATGGAGGATCTGTTACTGCCTCCATCCCGGATATTGCTGAATTTGTTGGTATCTTCAACAATCAAGCCTACACGCCAAGTTACTTTACCAGTTTCGGCGGCACGTATGATCTCAATTTAAAACCAGACATTGCCGCTCCAGGAAGCAATATTCTCAGTCTGTACTTGAATGGAGGCTACGCAAGCATGAGTGGTACATCTATGGCATGCCCATACATTGCTGGAGTCGCCGCCTTGTACATTGGAGAATTTGGAGGTCGGGCGATCCATGGACCGAGCATCGCCGGCAAGGTGCATGCACGCATTCTGTCATCCGGAGAGCCTCTAATTTGGGGCTCAGCTCTCGGTATCACCGATAAAAGGGCATCAGCGACACAGATTGGCAACGGTCTTGTCAATGCGACAAAGGTCTTGGGCTTTGATACCCAGTTGAGCTATTCCAAGTTTGTACTCAACGATACTCATCACTACTCACGATACCACAGGGTAGACATCACAAACAATGCTAAAGGTGAAGTGGTGTACACTTTCGAAGTATTGCCAGACGGTGGCTACAACTCCTTCACTGCCCCAGATGCAAGTGGATTTGAAGCTGTTGGACAATACTTCGATGTGATGCAGAACCCCATAGATATCATTCCCCAGGTGAAGTTACCGAGCGGCACTTACAAGCTTCAGCCTGGTCAAACTAAGACAGGAGTGAGTTATCAGCAGAGCTATATGTAAAGTCTTCTTAGATTAGCGACAACTGATTTGTTCCAGGTTCATTTTCGACATTCCTTCCGGCCTCAGCGAATCATGACTGCCAGTTTTCTCTGGCAAAATTCTCGTCAGAGCTAGCACTGGCGAACAACTTTCCGTGCCTTATTTTGGTACGTTTATTTTGTAGATCTGGTTGAATGAAGCGCTCATCTGGGTACTCAGGTGTCGCAGGAAGCGTCAAGAGTGAACTAAGAACGAAGGGATTGTTTCATGACAAGCTTAGATATCCTAGAATGAGTTCCACAACTCAATATGTATCGCTGGCCAACAAACCATGGTAGGTTGTCACAATACTCTTCCAAATCAGCATAAAGATTCTCACGTGTGCTAGGTTTTCATTCAACACGACTCTAGATGAACAAGATTTCCCTAGACTTAGTGTTCTTCTAAAATACGGGTCTCGTGAGCTGCGATGGGATGTTAGTCATACCAAGTCTCTCTGATAGCATTCTGTCCAAATTTCTAACATGTTGTACAGATATTTGAAGAAACATGGAAGGAACGTGACTGGAAGTATCCCCCAGTCGTCGGGGAGAATGGCTTCGTCGGAACCGCGACTTCTTATGCAAATGCCGGAAGTCAGGACTTTTTCGATCCTGCTACTGACGATGAGAATAATCTTGTCACTTTTCCCCAAATCGACTTGTTTCGTCAAGGAATCTATTCATTTTGGTGGCTTGGCAAGTTCTCCAATGGCAGTCACATTGCGCCTGGCAAATATAAGTATGAAGTGGCTCCTTTTCATCAGTTGTAGACAGTTAGCTGATTTCGTGCCCGAACAGGATGCGGTTGGCGTCACTGCTTCCTTTTGGTACACCAGAAGCATCAGACAATTGGGCAGTTTGGACCACCCCAATATTCGAGGTACTTGCTGAACCAAAGACATAGTGCAATGATATTATTTGGATATGGATTGCATCATTACACGAGGATTTCAGACCGGAAAGACGCCGTACTCTACAGGTGAATTTACAGATCGAGATAGAAATAGGGCAGTATGGGTTCTTCTAGAATAAACAAAATAGAGCCAATGCTGTCAACGAAAGTCTTCCATCTACAGCTCCTCATCTCTACTGCATAGTACCTCATTACCAAATAAGCATCCTTGCTATTGACAGTGACTTGCTAGAACGACATCTAAAAATACAGTACTACCATACCATGGTTCGGCACCACATGGCAGGGTGTACATGTGCATGGATACTAGATGGGTCCCACCCCCTGGGTTCAACAGAGCCAGGTTGACGATGAGCAAGGAAGTAGGCGGTCTTCGCACTTTGACCTGCCATATAAAGGTTCTTGGCTTAGTGCATCTAAGCTGGCTCGAGGTCGGCGTCGAGCGGTGGCGGGTGATTGATACTGACTGATGGCGTGCCGAGAACTAATCCGATCAAGTCACATTAACAAGATTTAACGTTATCTACCATTGATTTATGTAAAAGTGTTCAGTCTGCGAGCATGATGGCAACATCAAAGCGGCCGATGGCGGGCGACAACGATTGGCCTGGCGCATTTTACTGCCAAGCGCGGCCTACATGTTATCGTGCCAAGAGTTCTGGAAGCAGCATCGTTGTGATGTTGCCAGCCACAACTTACCCCAGACGCCCCTTTATCTCGCCAAGCACCTGCCTAAGTCGTCATGGCGCTGCGACCCCTGGCGCGGCTACCGGGGCGTGAACACAAGAAAGGCAGCCAAGCTTGAGCCAAGCTGATGTCTATGCAACAAACTCCGTTGAATGAATCGCCTACGGGATTCTAGCCAATGAGAACGAATGAAAATGGGCGGCCAAGGCTTTATAGTGATTCTAGACAGACCTTGATTCACTTCTCACTCCTCATTTCCTATGAAGAATGGCCAGATAAGCCTAGCCAAGTGGCTGCAACAAGGTTCCAAGAGTAGCTTGATCCGCTGGTGGCGTCTACGCAGACTGGATACAATTGCTCTTGGCATGAGTGAACCTATCAACGAGGAAGCATGGCCGAAGATCAATCCCTCAACGTTCGGCGATACTCAATGAACCAGCGGCCGTCCAATATCATTCCGAGCTGCAAAGACTGTCTTGCTTATCGCAATGATTCCCAGTAATAGCCGGATGAAATCTACATTGAGACCCAGAACATGCAGTAGGGCCAAGGGTGCCGCAATGCTGGTATATAACATGCCGCCCCTTAGTTGCTGAGCGAGTTCTCGGGTATTTGAGGGTGGTACGTCTGGCATATTCACAGAACTTTGATCTTCGCTCAGAAGCAACCATTTGCCTAAAGGAGTGTCCATTTCTATTAGCAAATATGGGTGAGAAAACATAACCTCAAGTGCGCATTCTGTAGTTTGACTTGCTAAAAATCTGAACTCTAGACACTGCTACTCAAATAGCAACCGTCGGCGCGCCCGTCAGCGCTGTTCGGCCTTCCTATGAAGTGCAGGATCCGCTGACCATCCCCGGTGACAACAAATCGGCTATCCATGGCGAGGAGGAGGTCGCGACCTTTCACGGTCTTGTTCTACCAACGGAAGAAGAGAAGTCTACGCTTCGACGTGTTGCTGGCGCTATGCCGGCAACTTGTTATTATCTCTGCGCTGTCGAGTTTGCGGAGCGTGCGTCCTATTATGGTTGCAACCAAGTATACAAGAACTTCATTCGTGCCCCATTGCCTCCTGATGGCAACGGTGCGGGTGCATCTGCGCCTGGTTCTCAATATACGGCAGGTGCTCTTGGAAAGGGCTCCGTGGTAGCCACGGCCATGACCGAAGCGTTCAAATTTTTGGCGTATGCTCTTCCCGTTTACTTTGGATGGCTTGCCGATACCAAATATGGACGCTTCAAGATGATCTGCTGGGGCGTTGCCGTCTGCGGACTTGCCCACATCATCATGATCATCTCTGCACTCCCGCCCGTCCTCCAGTCAGGAAATGCTATTGGGCCCTTTGCACTGTCTCTGTACATGCTTTCTATCGGTGCAGGTGAGTCGCGTCTCAGTAACCTGAAGGAATCTGGTACATGGTCTAACTACTTCTGAAGCTCAATTCAAACCAAACATTTCGCCCACCGTAATGGATCAAAGCCCTCACAAGGTGGCGCACGTCATCACCGACAAGAATGGCGAGAAAGTCATTGTTGACCCCGAGGAGTCCATCAACAGTGTCATGCTGTGGTTCTACCTTCTCATCAACATCGGTGCTTGCTTCGGAATTCCAACGACATACCTTGCTAAAATCGTTGGATACTGGGCTGCATACCTTATTCCTACCATTCTATACCTTATGCTGCCGCCTCTGTTGTGGTATCTCAACCCACGTCTTATAAAACAACCGCCCGGGGGCTCTGATCTTGGCAATGTTTTTAAGGTCCTCGGTGACATTTTCGCCCACGGAGGCTTGAAGAGAATCGGCCGAAAGGGCTTCTGGGACCTCGGCAAGCCAAGCGTGCGAGCTGCTGCTGGCAGTACAAAGGTTTACGCATATGATGATCAGTTTGTTGATGATGTCCGCCGAACCTTCCAAGCCTGTGGAATATTCCTGTTTCAGCCCATCTTCCAGATCAACGACGGAGGGCTCGGTGCCGCTGCCAATGCGCTTACTGCTGGTATGCAGACAAACGGTCTCCCTAACGATCTACTAGACAATCTGAACTCTGTCAGCATCGTCATTGGTGAGCCTTCGAATTACGACTTCCGTGAAGAGAGCACTTCCACTGACCACATCGCTAGCTGTTCCTATCATGAATCATATTGTTTATCCGTTTCTTAGACGGCGAGGAATCAAATGGGGCGCAATTGCACGTATGACCTTTGGCTTCGGCCTCTGCACAGTTGGCTCCCTTGGATTTTCTGTTCTTCAGTACTATGTCTACCAAACATCGCCCTGCGGTTATGATGCAACAACATGCGCCGACATAGTCCCCGAAGGTGAAAATTCGTTGTCCAGTGTGTCATACGCTTATTACGCCATCCCTATTATCATCACTGCCGTGGCCGAGATCTTCGTCAATGTCACCGCTTATGGCATCGCCTACTCTCGCTCACCTAAGAACATGAAGGGTCTCGTGGCTTCGCTGAATCTATTCATGACCGCGATTTCTGCTGCCATTGGTTTGGCTACCGCGCCCGCCATTCGGGACCCTCTGCTCATCTGGGCCTTTGCGGGACCAAGTATCGTCGGTGGTGTTTTCACAGTGATATTCTTCTTCACGTTCAGGCACATTGACAAGGAGGACTTCGTCATCAATACCGACTTTAACGATATGAAGCGAGACTCGGACCACGAGTCTGACATTGAAAGGCCACAGGACAATAAAGTCTTGACGGAGAAGTCTTGAGATTGAGTTTAGGAAACAGCAGATCACGATTGTGGGAAGTCGTACATGTTAGAGAGTAGTTGAGGGAACTATACATACTAGTCGTCCAATATCATCCAGCAAGGTTTCATCATTTACTGAATCAAGATATGGTTCCCTATCGTCAAATGAGTGAGCATAGTTCGTTGTTCGTGCACGTGGAGCTAGCCTAGGCCTAGGTCTCGTGCCGACGGCCCTTTTTTCGATTGATAAAGGCATTGGAGATTTACTGCTATTAGACCAGATCCCTTCCATGATGACTGTTGTCCGCGTTGAAGCAAGCTATTCTACATACTTTGCAGTAGATACCGCTCAGTGCTTATAGGACGTGGCTGCCGGAATGTCAGCTGGTCGAGTCGATATTTCGGTGCGGAATGACAACAATTTTTTGCTCGGGGATTTCGAAATGCCTTAACTGAATAGTGCATTCTACCCCTGTACAGCTTCGACTACGCTAGCTTGGATTAGCTAGACTACGGGTGCACGTCTCAAAGTTGTTTGACGCTAACCGCTCACGTTTAGCGGTCGACACATTGACTTGGATCTCTAACATTGATCAGTCGAGTCCAACGCCAATCGACCAGTCCTGGGTTCTCGCTTCGAACGTCCCATATTCGGTTATGCCTGCCAGTTCGCAGAGGCCTTGTGAGGATCAAACAACAGCGTCGCAGCCTTGGCGCATATTCACGGGGATCAGGTGGATATCCGACCAAAGTAGCCTCACCTTCAGAAACACCTTATAAGCGGAGGCATGGCGCTGGAGGTTCGTTTTCACGGGCTTCTATCTCTTGTCAATTAAGCATATCTGAAAGTTCCCAACATCCCTCGCCTGACCACGTTGACATGGAGCCGCAGCGACACAAATACGAAAACATCCAGCTCACCAGTGATGATCACGATGAGTCCAGCACTGAAGTCGACGAGTCTCTAATGGGTGACGAGAAGCAATGGGACGGTGAACACATGCAAAGCCTGAGCAAGAGACAAAGGCGGAGCCGACTTCTCTCTGCCCTGAGCTCCTGCAGGTGGATCGTCGACACACTACTGTTGCTGGTTATCCTTGGGCTCTTAGTCCGGGAGCAGCTGCGAAAGAGGCCGGTCAATCCGTGGGACTTTACAGGCGATATGACAGGGGTTGGGCCAAGATGTATGGCATCAGTAAAGAAAGTCCATGATAATCGGTGACACTAATATACCCCACAGTCTCGCAACAGATTACGAAGTTCTCCCCCGATCAATCATACGCGCCCGACAATACCTCAGAATTCTTCAGGCCCGAGGTCTTGGACAAATGGAATGCCCTCATGCCTAGTATGACCATGTCTTTCATCCTATTCCAAGCCGGCGCTAATAAAAGTAACAGAGGGCATGGGTTTCGTCTGGGTTAACGACACCAAAAAATACCATGATCTACCGACTCCAATCGATTGGCCGGATAAGACTGTTTTCACGACTTCGTTGACACATCAACTACACTGCTTAGTACGTTGGATATGTAAGCCGTAACATACTGAAGCTAATATCTCTCCAGTACGCCATGGTGCAGACATATTCTGGCCTCACATCAAATACAACCGTACCAGATGACCATCACTGGCATATGATTCACTGCTTTGACTACCTACGGCAGTCTATTATGTGTTGCGGCGACATGGCGCTTGAGGGCCATGAAACAACTTCTCCGAAATTCATGGGAGGCTCTGATGGATGGGATGCCAAGCACGGTGAGTTGGCCTGGGACATGTCATTTCACCCGACTGTTGCTAATTTTTCCTCGCAGTTTGCAAGGACTACAACCAGGTTAAGGGTTATCTTGAGAGTGTGAGGGCGTATGATGATCAGTTGATTTATTAGGTAGCGACTTGAATAGCATTTACATTTTATAATCAGACAAAAGTTAGAATTTTTCAAATGTCAGACTCTACCCGCATCCCACCATAGGGTTGTAACTGTGACAAGCTCAGCCATCTGGCAAAGGTCTTCCGTTTGAGAACAATCATGTCTCACGACATGTGACTTTTGCGACAGTTGCTTACAGTATATCTATACAGGCTAAACCTCACAAGGCTGTTGATGCTAGGGGTGCCTTTATAGACGAAGCAAAAAAAGAGCACATTTCAACTCTCAACAGGCGTTGACATGACACATGGCCTGCGAGATTGAGGGCAATACTTGCCGTTAAACATGTGTCAAACATGCCTTTCATCAACTGCACCCTATATTATTAGTGATACCTATGAGGCAATTTAGATTTTTCTGTCAACATGCGCTCGATCAATTTTGGGCTTTCATACTCAAGAGTAGATATGCTCTATTTGGACGCGGTGGACGATCAGGATGTGGTGAGACGGCTCAATCTTGCCAGCAACTATCATTGGGTAGATAAAATCGTCAAGTACTGAGAGGTGGGATTGGAAGGGGGTAAGCCAAAAAAAAAAAAAAAAAATTGCACACCAATGATCATGGTGCCAGCCATGGGCGGCCAATACCAGGAGCATCGACTGCGAGGCCAAATGTCCTCACTCTCCATTTGAAAGTCTACGAGCCTCTGATGGCCACTCTGTCAACGATTAGAAACGGCCGTGAAGATACCTAGGAAACAAGCTTCGCTATCTATTCCCTGCTAATCACTGCCGGCACCTGCTGTGGTCGTGTTTGACAATCTTGATCCATTCTACTGGGTATAGCAGCGGCTGTCTGCAGAGTTCGAAAATGTGATAGTGCAGAGACTTGCATATAGGCGGTAGCATTGCAAACGATAGCAGGTGCATGATACACAGTTGTCAGAGCTCACAGCGGCCAAATAACAAGAGGGGATTTAGGCGCGGCCCAGTTGCGATGTGCGTAAATCCCGGTTCAGGCTGCCACGGCTTTTGTCGCAAAGATGGGCGCACGTGTGTACCGCGCGGTGTTCGAGAGGCCGTGCCCAGGTCGGTCGCGCAGGTGCGGCACGGTTTTGCCAGTGAGCGCTTCTTACCAGCTGTACAAGCTCATTGCGGTAGGAGAGCTAATGATACAGTCAGTTTCCAGAAGAACATTCAAACGATCCGGCTTTGTTAATTGATCTGGTTCGCTCGGCGTGGATAGAGAAGTACCGGTAACAAACAGCGATGCTTGATAGCGATTGAACTTCTATTAAGATCAGCTTGTGCTAATCCCTGCCTGCTACATAGGTCTAGAAAGGCTTGCATCGGACGATTGATCATTGGCATGAGCTTGGAGAGTTTATTGCAAATCTTAAGTCTATCAAGAGGGCGATCAGGGTCTCCCGATTGAGGGAGGATCACTGGTGCCAGAGAATGGAGACAGGGGAGCCCCTCGATCCAGGACCTTTTGCCCTAAGCGTAACAGGTTCGGCGGCGTCTAGCCTATCAAGGTATCGGCGACATGACTTTGCGCTGCGACGTTGACATCATCTCAGCCGAGAAGGGAAGCGAATGTCACTTGGCGAGACGACATTGGTAGCAGGACGCACCACGAAGGGAAAGCCAGCGACATCAGACAGACAGCAAGAGAGGGTTTCGTATCCTCGCCAAGCCCAGCCAAACCAAACCTCAGAGTGCGACCACCAGCACCAGACGAGTCGATTGAGCGACGAAAGGATCAAGGGATCAGGTACACAGTTTGGTATGGATTAGAAGTGACCTTGACCCAAAGTGAGAGGATGGCAGCGTGCATCTGCAGCATTCTGGTGGCGGCTAAAGAGGAGAATGATCGAGGGTACCGAGGCTCGCGAGGGAGTCTAGGACTAGAAATAGAACTGTGCGAAACATGGGGCTGTTTCCGTCTAGCCTGGGAGGTCTCCTCCGTGGGATGCTAATACTGTTGACAGATGATGTCTTTGGCGTGTCTGACTGTGTGTATTTCCAGTGCAGTGCAGCTTTGATTATAAAACCTTGCTGACCTTAGGAAGCCGGCCAACAGTCCGGCAGGAGTGGGATTTCTGCATCCATTTCCATTCCCGCGCTGTTCAGCAAATGGCTTTGAGCAGGGGGGTGGCTGACGAGGAGAGTCTACCCGAAAACTGGGCCCCTGAATGAATATCGGTAACAGGACATCTGACAGGTGCCATCCTCCCTACCTGCCTTTGTACCTACAAACTCTATTCATGTGGGCTCTCTGCCGCGTTGATGAAGTTGGCGATGATGGTGAAGGCAAGACACGACGAGCAAAGGATGTCATGGTATCGTACAGACTACGCAGTATCATCTTCATAGGCTAGATCTACCTACCATGCGTCGACTAATGAAGGGCGATAACCTTCAACTCGGGTAGGTAGGTATGTAGGTAGCTAACTACTGAGGCAGGTAGCGGTAGGTCTTGTCCCAGAATAGCTGCACCGAACATGCCGTCTACACTAGACTGCACTGAAATGACAATGGGCTTGCATGTTGCATGGGATACCCAGATTCGCCGCCGCCGCCGGGTAGTGAATACCATAGTATCAAGTTAGGCGAGCTAGGTAGTTTACTGTCCACCCACTACTGCAGTACACTGGGTGCGAGTGCACTGCCTCTCTGGTCTCCGCGAACCAGGTGCCCATGCTGCAGAGTGTCTAGGGAGTACGGGCTGCAACCTGTCGTCAGCTACTGCACTGCACTGCACTGTATCGTACCGTACTCAGTAGAGAGTCTCGAGTCTAGCATGCTGCCGTGGTGGTGGTGGTGGTGGTGGTGGTGGCAGAGAGAGAAAAGCTAGGCCCAGTAGGCAAGCTGGTGTGGTGAGAGCGGCATGGAGATTGGACACAGAGAGGCTTACTGCATAGTATGGCGTTTGTTAGGGTGCCCGGTAACGTTAAGTTCACCCAGTTGCGCAAGCGAAGTGCCGTTTGTTTGGTCTGTCTCTGCAGGCCAGTCAGTCCCTTTTCCCTGCTTGTCCCGGGGTGTCTCGTGTCGCTGCCAGGAGAGCTAGTCTCGCCAGTGCCTACGCTTCGTCTCCTTGTATCTTCAGGTTTGTAGCTTCGTACCCGGACACCAAAGTCCAGACCCTTCTATTTCAAGGCGCTGTTAGTGTCGTAGCTGGTCCAATGCCTCGGGACACTAACAGAGACGGCGGTTGGCGGGACCAGACCCAGGACCAAGGACGCCAGCAAGATTCCCAGCCGCTCAGCCTTTTCTGGATTAGTGAACCGGGGCTAGGGTCCAAGGGGGGTTTAGCGTTGCTGCGGCCCCTGGCAACGTTTGGTTTGGTTTGGTTTGGTTTGGTATGGTTTTGGGGGGTGGATCGGCCCTCCCTCCGTCATCCATTCTCTTTCTTCCAAGGCTCTTGATAATGAATGCAACACCGAGGAGTAGGAGTAGGAGTAGGACGAGGACGAGGACGACAACGATGATGATGATGATGGTGTCGTTCCAAGTCTGTTTGGTCGACCGCCAGCCCGTTCCCGTATCGTTGCATCCGTCCATACATACAGACAGTAGACTAGAAATTTTGGCAGTCGGGTTCCTATGTTCGACGTGTACTCCAGATAGCGTGATGCCCGGGTATTGATCAATATCTCGATCAGATATACCTAATAGCCCATCTTGTTATATGTGCGTGCGGGTTGTTGCTGTTACTACGGGGTACCGACTGTCGCCGCATTCCTGTTGGTGCTTCCCGAGCAACCCTCTTCCCCTGGAAGGCTAGGTAGGTATCTCTCTACCCAGCTTCAGCTTCAGCTTCAGCTTCACCACCACAACCACCACGCTTATTAGGTACCGGTATTTCTTTCGGCTTCCCTCCATCCCTCCGCTCCGGCGCTACCTTTCTTGCTCTCCGCTGCACAACATTCTAATTCTAATCAAGAGCATCTGCCTGTTCTGTTTCCTCGGCTGGCCAGCTCAGGCGTTCTGCGTATTTGTAGCAGCTGCAGCGACGCCGCCATTGCTTTTCTTGGGGTCTAGATCACCTACAGTAGTTATTGACTGGTAGCTAAGGTACCGGTACATGTACCTACGCTATCTACGCAGCAGGTAGGTGCTCAGGTGCGGAGTGCGTACGGTACTGTACTTGCCATCTACGTATCCACACCCGCCTACACCACCAGACCACCTACACCACTACGAGCCACCCACCCCCCACCACCCTCTTGCTTGGGTTGGCGCCCGCCCCCGGGGAGGTTCCCTGGTTCCCTCTCTGCTGCTGCTCCTGCTGCTGCTCTGCAACAACAACTGGACGAGTTTACGTAGTTACGTAGTTACGTAGGTGCGACGGCGACGAGCGACGAGGGACCGACCAGCCCACGGGCCTCCTCCACCGCCCCAAGCCTCCCCCGTCTTGTCGGGGACTTGCTGGGCGCGGAACATTCAACGTCTCAAGATACCATACACGGTAACCAATTCTGCACCTCTTGTATGTTACCTCAGCTGTCTGTGAGTCGGGCGATGAACTACTGTAGTTCTCTGCAGTGCATCTTTGCGCCATCATCCTCATCCTCATCCTCATCTATCCTTATCCTTGCCTTGCCTTGCCTTGCCAGATCTATTATACCCGGGTATCTTCTCTGGTTCCCTCTGCTGACTCGCTGCGGAAAAGATACTCAGATACCCAAAATACCCTTAGACCCGTTGGATTCGTTCAGGTCCTCCTCCTCCTCCTCCTCCTTCTCGTGTGACCGCGGATACACATCTACGACTGCTGCTGCCGCTACCTCTCCGATCACATCGTCTGCCGCCGAGAGTTCTCCCCTCCCAGATCCTCCCAGATCTACTCGCTCTCTACCTGCTTCCAACTCAGCATCTTCCCGTCCCACACCGACGACCATATCCACAACAGTACAGTTCTGTTCTTGGGATCCTGTTATATCTTTCGTCTCTCTCAATCGACATCCAATCCGATTGATCATTGTTCCCAGGCCCTCCCACTCCGGTCTCACCAATACGACACACTCCCTCATACGGCCACGAACAAACCGCCTGAGTCTGGGCCTGGCGCTGCGCAAGAGGCGAGACATTGAAGGGAAACAGGTCGACTCGTTCAGCATTGGGTCCTCGACTTCTCACGTTTAATCTTTCCAGCGACAGCGATGATGCCCTGCCGTTAGCTTATAGCATCCTCTCAAGCAAAGCAGACGAGCATAGGTCAAGACCTACTCTTCTACAACAGACGAAACCCTCAGCCCTTGAAGCAAACCGCCCGAGCTAGTATTCGAGTTCGAACTAGATCTCGAATCCCTAAGGAAGAACGGTCCTTCCTCCACAACACCACTCGAGGGGTTTCCCTCGCCTCTAACAGCAACTGCCACAGCCACAGCCGACGATGGATCCCGCTCACATTCTCACCGGGGCCCATGAGATCTATGCTCGCTCCGGGGGGCTCACCGATTCAACCGATGAGCGACCACCCGTCTTCAAGGCGATCGGTATCTCCCTCGCCGTAGGCTCAGGCGCGTTCATCGGAACATCTTTTGTTCTCAAGAAGGTGGGCCTGCTCAAGGCCAACGAGAAGTATAACGAGGTTGCCGGCGAAGGCTATGGCTACCTCAAGAATGCCTACTGGTGGTCGGGCATGACATTGATGATCCTGGGCGAGGTTTTGAACTTTGTGGCATATGCCTTTACGGATGCCATTCTTGTCACGCCGCTCGGGGCCCTGAGCGTCGTCATCACAACCGTCCTGTCCGCCATCTTCCTAAAGGAGCGACTGAGCATGGTCGGCAAGGTGGCTTGCTTCCTCTGCATCGTCGGTTCCGTCGTCATCGTCATGAACGCTCCCCAGGAATCCTCCGTCGCCAACATCCAGCAGATGCAGAAGTTTGTCATTGCGCCCGGCTTTCTCTCCTACGCCGGTGTCATTATTGTTGGCTCCGCCATCGTTGCCTTTTGGTTAGGTCCCAAGTACGGCAAGAAGAACATGCTGGTCTACATTTCTATCTGCAGTTGGGTCGGAGGACTCAGTGTGGTGGCAACTCAGGGCCTCGGCGCCGCGATCGTGGCGCAGATAGGGGGCACCCCACAGTTCAACCAGTGGTTCCTATACGTTCTGCTGGTGTTTGTGATTGGAACGCTGTTGACAGAGATCATCTTCTTGAATGTATGTGACTTGCTTGACGAGCCCAATTGACTCTTTCGGCGTGGAATCAGCTGCTAATCGCATCAACAGAAAGCCCTTAACCTCTTCAATGCCGCTCTTGTCACGCCTACCTATTACGTCTATTTCACCAGTACCACTATCATCACATCAGCTGTCCTATTTCGAGGCTTCAAAGGCACGGCAACATCCATCGTCACCGTTGTCATGGGCTTCTTGACCATCTGCTCTGGAGTCGTCCTCCTCCAGCTCTCCAAGTCCGCCAAAGATGTACCCGATGCGGCCGTCTTCTCAGGTGATCTGGACCAGATTCACACAATTGCCGAACAAGAGCAGCCAGAAACAGAGCCCAAGGCTGATGCCATCCGTGGCGCTGCCGCCATTGTCAGGCGCTTCTCTGTTGCACGACAGAACATGGAGGTGGAGGAGCTCAAGCGACTTCATGAGGAGAAAGAACGAGAGCGGCTGGAGCCTGTCAGCGAAGATGGGTCGACATTTGAGTGGGATGGCCTGCGCAGGCGGAAGACGATAATCGGCAGCCAGCGATCGAGAGCCATGACCTCCCCCAATCCATTTACACCTGCACCGCCGATGCCGCATCCTCCCCTTGGAATGTCGCATTTCCCCACTGACGACGAGCTGGCCGAGCACGATCGGCCCACCTCTCCAGGCGCCCTCTCCAGCATTGTAGGCACGATCCGAAGTCGTGCAAAAAGTGCATTACTACCCGGCCATCCGGACTTCCGCGCCAACCAAGATCCCACCAAGGTCCAGAGCCCAATGCACCCTGTTCAGTTGACCGAGATCTCGGTCCATGGCCAAAAGTCTGGCGATGATGTTTTCTACGGGCAGGGCGGTTACGGTCTCCCTGGCGGCAAAACGGAGTACGAGGGCTCGGGGGCTAGCCTCTCGAGCGGCCGCCGAGTGCAATTCGGCGGAGACAACCGCCAGGCATCACAGGGCAGCATGGCCAGCAGCCAGCTGGCGCCGCCCACACCACCGCCCCATTCCGCTCGCCGTCAGTTCTCCTTTCAAAACGTCTTTAGGCGGCATCAACAACAAGCTGGTACCGGAGAGGACGGGGCACAGGACCCTCCGCCGAGTCGCCCCTTTGCTCGTCCCGGCATATCAAGCCGAGGATACTCGAACCCGCATGTCAAGGGCGCTACGGAAGAGGAGCGATTGGGCCTTGTCAAGGGTGACTCACATAGCATGCCTGCTCTGCCGACGTATGATGACGAGGAGGCTGAGGAGGCCGAGCCATATACCGATGATAAAACGGCAAGATACGGCCGTGGCATCACAAACAGTCCGCCGCGCAGAGGGAGCAACGAGAAAGAGACGGACGCCCAACTAACAGACTACGAGGAGAGCGCGAGAAGGTGGCATGAGATCCGGGACGGAAGCCGGGATGCCGCGCCTCCTCCTCCTCCGCCGGGTGGAAGAAGGAATAGCCCGCCTAGTGGCGGTGATGGCGCTTTCATCTAGGAGATGGAGCTGCCGCTGTTCAGGGACTTCTTTCGGAGGCGTATGTAAGATTATAACGAGGTCGAACGGTTCTTGTGTTAGGGAAGCATGTCTACATTGTCGCATACCCACATGGTCTGTCTTTTTGATTTTCGCGCCTCGGTTGTTCATGGCGCTAGTACAATGCGGTATTAGGAATACGGAGCATCTTATGATAGACGATGACGACAACTCGACAGTAGCATGGACGGGTCGGGTTGGCAGCATTGGGATGAATGAGTAATGCGACAGAGCATGCAATACATAGATCATGAATTTGGACCTTATATTATTCATATCCTGCTTTTAATAATGTTGATTTATTGGTCAACTCCAGACCTGATATCGCCCTCGAGGGAGGCTTGCTGTGATAGCGTGGTCAAAGACGACTCGGCTTGGTGTGCATCGTGAGATCTACCCTTTCTTTACGCCATATATTGGACCTGTCCGGCTGTGGCGTCGTTGAAGTCGCAAAGGGATTTCGGAACATCTCCGAGCCGGTGGCCTTCGGAGGGTTGCCGGCATTACGGAAAAAGCCCCACAAAACTGTCCGTGGGCATGGCCCGAAAGCTTTGGGGCTTTTTTTGGCTGGATTGCTTGTTGTATCTTTTAGCGATATGGCTCGATTTCTACCTCTATGATGCCCGGAGAGGCTCGATCAAGCTGTGTCTTATCAAGACAGGTCCCGCTCGGCGTTCAACGGTGAGGTCCTCGCTTTCTCGTCTGGTGACTTCGAAGCCACAGGATCTAGGAACTCAACATTCAGGTCTCTGAAGGCGCACTGGACAAGTCCATCTAAGGACCTTCAGAAGAGAAAACTCGATTCATTTCCCAGGCTGCCTTTGCTATTTGCCTTCGCCAGCCACTCCGAAGATGCCAGTCTACATGGCGTGGGGCAGGAACTGTAGTGAGGATGAGCGAGGATCGTCAACTGACGCGAATGCGGCATCCGCATTCTAGAAGATTCGCGAGGTTGACAAATGGCCGGGTATCCGTCACACAAACGCAAACGGCGCCTTGCCTGCCGGCCGCTAGGTAGCTGGAACGCGCTATTCTCTCAGACCAGGTACCAAATAGCTCTGTGCTTTAGGCGTCCCACCCCCACCACCACACCTGCAATGCTGGCCGGCTCAACCCTGACTCCAATCGATACAATCACCTCTGCCCAATATCGCATTCTTGCACTTTCAAGCACTCTACCTCTACAGCCCGACATAATTAGACTCGCGATCAGGCTGCAGATCTGTAGTCGACGAGGGCCCATGTCCAGCCTTGTTGTTTGACTCAGCACGCCGCAACACCGGATTGATCATCTTGGTCTCGGCACATACGGTCCAGCACTCGCAGCATACCAGATCCTGCTGAAGAGCCTGTACTTACCAAACACAAGAAGACATGGCGGGAAAGTCAATCCTGCTGAAGGAGGAGGGTAACCGGCACTTCCAGTCCGGCGATTATATTGGCGCTGAGGGCCTCTATTCAAAAGCGTAATAACATATCCTTCGATAATGCCCCTCCTCCTGCAAGCTTGAGAGCAGGACATGCACATGTTCGAGCTGACCTTGGACCGTTGTTTTCCGTAGAATAATAGCCGACCCTAGAAACCCTGCCCTCTACACGAACCGAGCCATGGCAAGGCTGAAGTTGAAGTTGTGGGATAGTGTTGTGTCCGATTGCGGCACATGCCTCGAGCTGGCACCCGACAACCTAAAGGCCTTCTACTACCTCTCCCAAGCTCAGCTAGCCCTCAAAGACTACGACGATGCCTTGGAAAATGCGAAGCGTGCCCACGAACAATGTGTTCTCACTGGTGATAAGAGCTTATCTGCGATAACAGCGCAGGTACTCAAATGCAAGAAGGAAAGGTGGGACGACCTAGAGAAGAGGCGACAGCGCGAAGGCAGCGAGCTCGAGACCGATATTGTCCTCCTGATGGAACGAGAGAGAGATGAGGCCGTTGCCTCCTGCGCAGGCGAGAGCGATAGGCGGGAAGTCACCGCTGAGTGGGAGAGCAAAATTGCGCAAACAAGGAGAGTGTTTGAAAAGGCGAGGTCGGCCGAAGACAAGAGGCGTAATGTTCCTGACTGGGCTATTGATGATATCAGCTTTGGGATCATGGTCGATCCAGTCATTGTAATCCTCTCCAATGCCCTTTTCTCATCCCTGGGCCTAGGCGACTGCTAACATGAACACAGACAAAGACGGGCAAATCATACGAAAGGGCATCTATTATGGAGCATCTACGGAGACATCCCACAGATCCTTTAACCAGAGAGCCACTATATCCGTCTGACTTAAGATCCAATCTAGGCCTAAAGCAAGCGTGCGAAGAGTTCCTTGACGAGAATGGCTGGGCAGTGGACTGGTAGTCCTTTTCGTCGTTGCGTCCTCAAAGCCATTGATGATGGCTTTGAATGATGCTTCGAAGTCCCTCGAGTGAACAAACATTCGGGTACAGCATAGCATAGCATGGCGTTTTCTCATGTCGCGGACTGCCGCAGAGAGCAGATCTTGGGTATTTAAACAGGTCAGCAGGTACGTCTTGCCAGGCGGACCATTATGATGATACGATTTTCAGTTCTGGGTAAAGAACTTAGCAAGCTGCGACATCGGGCACCATTGCTGGAGGCTTCTTTTTAAAAACCCTCTTCATCCGCTGCAAACCAGTTTCCCGCCTGGCTGGTCGCTGTGCAGGTGTCTCGATCTCGCTCAGCCTTTGATGCATTTTCTCGATGTCTCCTGCTGCTGTTGGGACATCTCCAGGGTCCGTTTGGGCGTGAGACTGCTTGGGAATTACTGCTTCAGGTAGTGTTCCTTGTTTGGTGTATTGCTTTTGACATGCGTGCTCTCGGTCACAGCGCAGTTGGAGCGCTTTTCTTTCCTTCTCATTTGTAGTATCCAAGCCCATCTCCTTCAAAACCGCCTGCACAATTTCCGCGAAGGCTTCCTCTATATTTTCACCAGTCTTTGCACTTGTTTCGAAGAATGGCACCTGCAACAGGAGCGTCCTCGCCAACATCTCGCCTTCCAACTTGGAGACCTGCCTCTTGGCAGCAGTAGTCGACGCTGTGTCGGTGGAATGTCCGCGTGTGCAGAGCTCTTCTCTTGGGCTGTCAATCGACTCTTGATCGACGTTGGACTTTCTAATGTCAAGCCAATTCTCTACGACGCTGGCCTGGTCTTCTTGGTGGCGGCGGGCGAACGATCTTACCGGGTCTCTCTTTCTGGTAGGAACACTCCGGACAGACCTTTGTAATGAGAGAATTGAGAATCGGGAGTCGAGGATGTGGTCTGCAGACAGCACTGAACGCCTTACCTCCGAGATTTCTTGCCTATATGTGCTTCGTCCATGGAAAGTTTGCGCTCCAGGCGACATGGCTGGCGGTAGTGCGTTCCGGGAGTTAGTTTCGTCGTAACATCGGCTTTCTCGAAAAAGGGGATGCATGAGGCTTCGCTCTTCCAGGTCTACTTCCTCCAGCACTGCCATCTTCTCCGATAAGGGGCCATCGAGGCCAAGCTCGATGCTCGCGTACTCGGCGTCAAAATCAGCCTTATTCCCTATCAGAGCAACAACCGTTTCTCCTGCTTTGTTCCCCGCCATGGCTCCCCTGCCGAATATACCACGCTTTGTCTTGTCTGCGATGTTTGAGTGGGAAGCTCGTCGCCAACGCTTTCCGAGCGGTATCTCGCTATGCAAGTCCATGATTGTCTCGAAAGTCTTGCGATCTCCCACATCATAGACAAGCAAGACCGCATCGTAATTGCCCTTGGAGAGGACATGAGATCTGATTTTGGCGGACTGAAGGGCTGGATAGTTGATGAGCTCGACCAGGTACGTGTCAGCTTCTCGAAGGCATTTTGCACACGGCCTTGGTTCGGACAGCGCTACTTGTGAGGCATCTACCTGGTTTTCAGTCTCCCAGATCTCTGGTAGCACTTCTGAAGCAGGATTTGAACATGTCGAAGAGCCACCTGGTGATCGCGGCCGTTCCGGTGGATGTTGCTCAGCCTTTGGAAATGCATCCAAGCCGTGGGATGTTGCCAGTGGACGTGTAACTGGCACAACGGGCGAATCGGAGTATGAGTGAAGTGTGAAGTAACGCCGGCTGTTCCACATAAGTGCGGGATCATATGGCGGCGGATATGTTGCGGTAGTGAACTGCCGTTTACATGTGTCATTACCAGTTCTACTCGCAGTATTCGCATACAATACTTACCCTCGATTCAAGACAATTTTTGCCCACTCCTGGCGCTCCGAGGATCAGTATCCGAATCGCTGGATGCCTCGTGCCTCTTTTCATGGGATCCGCTTTTCGGCAAAACCGGTGGCGTGTTTTGGGTCTGCTCCAGCTGTCTGTTGATCCCAGATTTCGTTTTCCAGAAGGTCATAAGTAGCCCAGACACGCTGATGTAGTTGCACAAGGAAAAGGAGAAGACCGAAGGTTGATAAAATACAAACGAATGATTGTAGCCAGACATAACCACTACTCAACGACTCGAGATGCATTGATAAGATCATGCTGCAGGACGATCATGTCTGAATGGTTATGGCATCGAGTTGGAAATAAACAGAGACGCAATACATGACTACAGAAGGTGCGACTGCACGGCTTGACTGACATGCTCAGCGTCTCGAGTTTGTTTGGTAGTGAATGCGGCATCGACTTTCCAGCTACGTATACACAGCCTAAATCATGCCGGTCGTCGGAGCTGGACGGCACCATATCATGCCACTGCATGGATAAATAGAAAGGACGACTGAAAATAAAGCATGAATTGATATAACACATCCCCTTTTCGTCATCTGTGTTCGATTTATATCATCAGATAAGACCCCAAAGAGTTAGTATGTATAACGATCGAGTATTGAATTTCCTAGAACGAAGTTCATGCCATCAACGAATTGAGCTCAAACCTTGTTTATGCCAGGACATGTAATCTAGGGTTCGAGTCACATTTGCAGTGGGTTAATCTCTTTGGACGACAAGCCAAGTGACCAATATTTGATAAAATTACGCGACATTATCTATCCCCAACTGTTGATGTGGCATCACTCTTCATGAGGTGTGGCAAATTGTATAGCTAGGCTCAGCTTATTCACAGACAACCAGTCCTACCAATGGGTGACTTTGCATGCCTTTCTTTCTGCTGTAGTTCCTCCGCTCTTCAAGCAATCTAGACACAGCCAGAGATTCCAATGTTTCGTTCTCTGAATAGCTTCATCTAGTCTTTTGGCCAGGTGCACACTGTTTGCGTATTTCATGTTGGCGCAAATGCAGGGATACTTTCGTGTACAAGGCTCAAAGAACAGTAAGTCGTTGCCGGCTTCACGCTCTGCTGCAATTGCTGCCCGGTCTATGATGGCGCTAAAGGAATCCGTCTCAAATTGCGCATTCCAGGGGCAAAGACCATGTGCGTCCAACACTTGCATGTAGCTTCCAATTGCACCCGTTGCTCGAGGACACTTTTGAGTTGCTGAATACGACAATTGAGCCATAACCACTGCTACGGGTTCCATGAGTGTCTTATGCATGTCTCTTCGAAGACACGCCTTGCGCCTGTGGAATTCCGCTGGGCTGCGTTAACAGAAGGTTGCTGTTATACTAAATCCTACTCACAATGAATGTCATGCCTAAGGAGCTCATGGTCCGGGCCAATAGGCAAGTCAAACCCCTCGTCAATTTCGTCTCTCACGCTTTGGCGATGCCGTAGGAGAATATACCAGCTGCATTCAGCAAACTGTGCGGGAAGATCAATAGTATAAGCAAACAGCAACATATGACAAAGCTGCTGCAATTCCTCCTTGATATTGATGCAGTCGTCCCGCATCTCCAATTTTGCACTGCTTAGCCCACGTTGAAGCCATAGGATTCCGTAAGGCGAAAATAGGTGTGCGCAGTCATATTTATCTGCTAGGAGGGCAAGTTCGAGGAGTAGCGAAGTTGGCGGGTTGCTTGGAATCTCGTCCGTCTGATGATGGGCGATGTTCACTAGTACAGTGAACGCAGCACCATTGTCGTCTGGAAGCGCGATAGGAAATGGACGGGGCGAATTGGGGCTTCGAAATGCGACACCTTCTGCAAGTGGTCCTTTGAGCATTCTCGAAAACACTGGCGACACGAGACTAAGTATTGACGATGACACGCGGAGATTCACCGACGACTGGATACTACAGCTGTCTCTTCCGCTTGTGAGAGAGTCCTGTTGCCGCGGGTAAGAAGAGGCGAGCCTATCGCGTATTGACTCCGTATCACTATCATTGTCCCATCGAGATCTCTTGAGGGGCCTCGGGGAAGACGACCCTTGGCCCTCGATATCATTGCTGTTCTTGTTTCCATAGAACTGAAGAAGAAGATCTCCATTGGGATCTACTTCGACAGTCGTACCCATGCTTCTGATGACTGCGGACCCTTGTGCAATTTTTGTTAGACAAGTGGTGATTTTAGACTGTTAGACCTCACTGCCTTCGAACGCAGGCGGTAGCCTGTCTTGGATGGCAACATCTAGTTATCTAATTAGAAATTGGACACCTTGTCATACTGCAAAAAGGGATTATCGAGGTTGAAGTGAAACAAATGTAACAAAATTGGTTGTGAAGTGATAGAGCCAACCTCCTTGGGCCTTAATACCAACCCAACACCGGTGATGGCGTTGAGGCGTTAACTCCACTCATCCAATAGTTGGTGCCCAACCAATTGGGCGGCTGACTGTCGCGGGATGCTTTGGCATTGGAGCAGTTGAATAGTATCTAAGGTAGCCGCAAGTCAAGCTTGAGAGCTATGATTTGCCTAGTTCCTGCAGAGTGAGGCTGCAGCACCGCCCTGGGCCTGATGATAGGACCACAGGTATCGGCACCACCCCTCCCCCGAATTCTGAGTGTACTAAACCCATCTGCAAGCTCACAAGCATATGCGCCTCACATACGTGTATCTTGACTCACGTGAGAAGATTTAAAAGTTTTATAATGTTGCCATGAAGACCCGGGGGTTAAACACTAGACCCTTGCCTCAGGAATCTAGCCTGGTTACATATGCCCTTGGGTGAAAATGATCCACACCGCAATCTACCCGTGAGGCTCGTGGCCAGTACTCCTTCTGAGCCTATCTTTCAGTCCATCTGCCGAAATAGTGCTTGCCTGGCAATAGATGATCCTTGTGATCACAAGATACCTCTCAATGCTAATT